CATTTTCCGCCTTGTAAGCAGGCTGAAACAATTGAGCACATTTCCATGCAGTGCCCTATTGCACACTTCACATGGAGATGGTCGGACCTGGTATGGAGGAAAATGGGGGTGAAAAACCCCTGACCCTCGTATAGGCAGGCGATCCTGGCAGGCTATTGGCCAGCGCAGGAGGCGAAGGCCTTCGAGGATAACATGTATAGACTGGGGAGGCAAGCGGTATTGTGGGTATTATGGTGGCAACGGTGCCTCCTGGTCATGGAAAGGGTATGTCACCGTATGTGTGGAGAGTGTAGAGATTACTGAGCAGGTCAAACAGACGGTCGAGTTAGAACTCGCATGCAGATGGCGTTTCCTAAAAGTCCACAATGATACCAACCGACAGGGGATGTGAAGAAAGCAATCACAAACTTCTTCAGGGAATGGTTGGGGGGGAACAAGGGGGGGTGGGTAGCGGAAGTAGAGTGGAGTGGGGCTATGTATCACCCGCGGTCGTGACTGCGGGCCTTTTTAACGCACGCAGCCTAACTCTAACCCAGTTAATGCGAAAACAATGAGAAAAGGTGCAAGATGAGCTAATTACATGATACCTCCCATAGACAACATAGTCCAAGCAAAACCACTCAAAATCTTCACTAAACTATGACCAGCCATCATATTGGCAAATAAACGTATTCCTAGACTTGGTGCGCGAAAACAATAAGAAATTAGTTCAAGAAGTACTAACAAAGGGGCTAGTGGCAAAGGTACGCCTTGAGGTAATAAAAAACTCAAATGGGATGGTTGGGTTTACTGAGTGTTTTGATGACAATTTTATTGTTGATCAATAATTCTTTAACCACTGCTAATCTGTTTTATAATAATCTAATCATAGATAATTTGACCTATTTTTGTAAAATCTTTCTATTGTTTGGTACTGCGAGCACCATTTTGATGTGTTTCGATTATTTCAAACAAGAAACCCGTGCCGCTGGCCCGGTGGAAACATCCAGGAGGCACGCAGTGTCGGCCCGTATGGGAGTGTTATGCGTTCGAGACGGAATGCTGATGGGGAGTTGTATGGCGGGAAACTGTCACGTACGGTTCGAAGGGCAGAGACTCACCTCTGACCCCAAGCCATTTTAGGTTTTCGGGATCCCGACTGCGCGGGCTGACCGCCCACGGCCGGTTTTGACCTAGGCCGCGGCCGCCGGCCTAGGCCGGGACCCCCCTGGCCGACCGAGTTGTTTCGGCCTCAGTGTCGGTCGATCAGGGGGGCGGTTTTCGAAGCGGGAGCGGGTTTGGGGTGGGGGGGTAGGGGGGCACCCCCTCAAAGTGACAGGTCGTCAAAAAAAAAACAACGGGGGGGGCCTGCACAAAACCCTAGAAGGGTGGGCCGCGAAAAATCCAGTGTCCCCCGTGTGCAGGTTCGTCCCCGCAGGGGTCAAATATATATATATTTATATATATTTTTTTCACTGTTCCAGACCCTCCTCCCTGCGACCCCGCCGGCCCAATGTGGGTTGGATGAGGGCCTGGTTGGGGCGGGCCGTGCGGTCAAGCCGGGTCGAAGCTAGACGGGGCTGCAGATCGCAGACCCCAAGCGGATCAGGGCCTCACGCACTGAAAGGTAGGCGTCGGTTTCATTCATGAGGGCGATGACAGTTCGTGGCATATTTTAAAACAACACATTCATGGCAATCATAAGTCAGACCCTGTTTGGCATACCAATGTCAAAACACATTGAAAATCAATCAGAGTGCGGCGAACCACAAGTTTCAAACAATAATAACAGGCAAGTGTGTCATAGTGTGTGTTCACTCATGAGACTGATGGACATTCTTTAGCACATCATTTATGTAAGAACACATTCATTAGCACATCATCCCTATGTCGCATCTGAAATTAACAGCACATTCATAATGGAGGCATCTATGACATGCAGGTGTGTGGCATCGGAGAAGCACATAATTTGCAACAATCACGACAACAGAGCAAAAAACAATCACCAAACAACAACGACTCAGATGCAAGACCAATGTTGGCGGAGGAACAAGAACAAGAGCAAATATATGACAAAGCATTTCAATGGAAATGCGTATGTACAAGGCTGAAGCCAAAAACTGGACCCGTAGTCTCTACTGTACAACCGAGTAGCAAAACAAACTTGGACCCATCATCTCTGCTACACAACAGAGTAGCAAAAAAATACTGGACCCGTCGTCTCTACTGTACAACCGAGTAGCAAAAAAAAACTGGACCCATCGTCTTTGCTACACAACAGAGTAGCAAAAAAAAACAAGACCCGTCGACGGGCGTCGTCTCTACTGTACAACCGAGTAGCAAAAAAAAAAAAAAAAAAACCTAATGTCCACATACTGTCGTCATCTCCCACCAAAGTAGAAAAAAAAAAATACACCACGGACGTCGTCATCTCCCACTAGAGCGCGCGCGGCCTCTCCCGGAGGACGGGCCGCCATGCGGTCCTCCCCGGCGCCCTCCTCTCCCTCCAGCACCTGTGCCCCGTGCCCCGCTGACGTATGCCGCATGTGCTGCAGCAGCCTTCGCGGCCACCTGTGCCCTGTGTCTGCGGGCCGCAGTCTCGATTGGCTCAGACTCAGTGTCTGCGTGCTCGTCCTCCTCTGCCTGTGCAGCAATCCCCCTCTCTCTCTCCCTCTGAATCGCGTCCAATGTTGCCTGCCCGGCGGCGACCCCTGGAGCGAGTCGAGCCTCAACCTCCGAGAGGCCATGCTGTCGTCTCGTCCCGGGACGCATCAACAACCCCTCCTCGCCCGATGTGAACTGCTCTCCCCGCAGCCTGTCCGTGGATGTCCCTGCGGCCTCGAGGACCAATGATCTCCTCGTCTCCGCTCGTGACAAACCAAGCATGCGGCCTGCCATCTGCAGGCTCGGACGTCCGGACCCACCCTCCACAGCCTGCGTCTGAACATCCGTACGTCCCGTGAAGATGCCCCTCCCGGCGTCGTAATCCGCCCGCAACCGGCCCCCGACCCGACGAACGGCTGACCATCCACCACCCACACCACCTCGGACTGTCGGCGGGGAACCGCCACTGTGCGCAACTCCGGGTGCCGCAGTCCCGTCCCCGGTGTCGACCCTGGCCTCCGGAGTCCGTGCGAGCGGTGGAGGCATCGATCCTGCACTATCTCTACCGCCGTCGCTGCGTCTGTCGGACCCCACCTCACCCGCACCGGACTCCCTCCCTCTCACGCCGCTGAGCGACGAACCCGACCAGTGAGGGCTCTGCACCACGAACGGCGGCGGTGAATATACCCTCCGAGGGGCCCGCTGCTTGCCGCTCTTGTGGCTCACGTGTGCAAAACGGTCATCCGTCAACGCTTGCGCCAAAGTGTTGACGTCGAAGAAAGTGTGCGTTGTGTCCTCACGGCGCAAGGGAGGCACTGCGGGGTCCCTCAACACCAAAGCGAGCCTATACTGATCGTCCTCGGGACCGTGGTCGTCGTCATCGTCGTCATCCGGTCCATCGTCTCCACCGACACCCGCGGTATCCCCATCTCCACCGAGTCCACCCTCTCCTCAGCCACACACTGCGGCACCCTATCCCTCATCACCCGTGGTCTCGCTATCGCCACGGCCCCCACTAGGCGACCCACCGCCCATGACAAGATCCTGCCCCTCAGGGACACCCGCGGTCTCCTCGTCGCCGCGTCGTCCACCACCTGACCCACCACCCGCGGCGGCATCCTGCCCCTCATAATCGAACTCCCCTTGAACCGCCTCCTCAGGGACACCCGAGTCGTCGACGTCACGGCTCCCCCCCCCTCCTGTCTCCAAGTCCCTCTGCCGACGCTGCTCGTCGAGATACGCGAACCGACCCTCCCACTGTGGCAAACTCCTCAGCCGCTCCTCCTCCTCTCGGTCCAAACGGGCATCCCTCTCCTCCTCAGTCTCAACAGAGCCCCGCTCAACGTCCGCGTCTGTGCGCACCTCCTGCGGTGAGGCACATCGACGTCCCTCGACACTGAAATCCCCCAAGCTCCCGCCAAGCCCTACGACGTCGAAGTCTTGTGTGCGGAGCACCGACGGCGAGCGGGGGCGGATACCGGCGTCAGAAGGAGTCCTCTCCCCCCCACGATCTTTACCGTCATGTGTCCGGTCTCTGCCTGCTGCTGACGCCAACCTCTCTGAACGCCTAAGTGCCTCGGGCTATGCAGAGATCGGATGATGGGAGGGAGAGAAGCGACGATCGCGAAGGGGCACCTCCTCATCCTCGGCCTCCCCCTCGGCCTCGCTGTCGCTCCTAACCTCCCAACGCCTGCCTGTCTGCCGAAGACCTCCCCGTGGCTGCTGCTCCCCCGAGTCGTCCACGCGAACCTCCCCATGCGAACGTCCTCCACGACCACCGCCTGCTCTGCTGCTGCCACTCGCCTGCGCGGTCCATGGCGTCACGACCCCCACCGTACGTGATTTACACTCGCTCAATCGTCGAGTCGCGACTCAGCGGCGTGTCATCATCGTCAGTCCAGTCGTCGTCGATGTCGTCGTCTGCCGCAGCAGCGTCCATATCATTCCCACCCTCCGGCCACGGTCGCAGCTCCGTCGCTCTGGTGCCGAACACGTCCCGAACCGAACGGGCTCTAGACGGTCGGCTGTCATGGAAAGCGACAATCTGCCGCTGGATCTCCTGCTCGAGAACACTGCCATCAGGTCGCGGTCCCCACACCTCGGGCTCCACATCTCCCTCCTCATCCTCCTCCTCTGCCGCCCTCCCCCCCTGACCGGTCCCCATAACCCATGGCAACACGTAGCCACCACCCTGCCGTGCGCACGAGGCCAGTTTGAGATTGGTGGCAATCTTAACCAGCTGTGCAAGCTTGGCGAACCCAAGCTTGCAGCGCCTCGCCGTGCTGACGCGCTCGTGCTCCGCCAAGTTCCTCTCCGCTGGAGAGGCAGACGTCCACAAGTGCATGACACGGACGGCGATGGTGCGCAACTCCGGGTGGGCACATCCATGCTCAAACCACCACGTTGCACATCGCTCGGTCTCGCTGTTCCCCCTGCAATCGGCCGCCTCGGCATCGGAGAGGTCACGATCTCCCCAATCCCCTCGCCTCGAGTGGAACGCCCTCATCTGGTCCCTCACGCTCCTGTACAATCAGCCGACCGGATCACCGTCGATCTGTGCCAGAAGAAATCTGTCGCACTCCTCGACCACACGGCGGTCGTCGGCGGTTGTCTCCAACGAATGGTAATACGTGAGGGACCTTCGACGAGGGTTGAGGAGGTGGGCCACGGCATGTGCGGGCTCTAGCATGTGGAGGTTGCGGATGGCAACCTCATGCACGCATGACTCGATCATGTCCGTCGGCACGTCGACCCTCCTCATCAACTGCGGCAAATGCTGACTCCACTCATAAACGATGGACATCATCATCCCCCCTCTATCCATCCTGCGCAACAAATGGTGGACGGGCGACATGACTAGGATGGCGTACTGGATAGGCTGCCAAAACTCCCCGTCCCTGATCTGCTGCTGCACCCACTGCGCCTGAGATACGTGGGCGCGATCCCACGGGATGCGTGCCCAAGCATCCCCGTGCAACATGCTCTCCAACGCATCTCGTCGGCCTTTGAGACACGTCAGCATCAGAAAATCCGATGCAAACTGTGTCCCAACGGGCTCGACGAGCTGAACGGGAGGGCTCACCTTCCTAAACAGGGTGTGAGCAGCGCCGTGAGATTTAATAAATCGCACAAGCGCTCGAACGCGGATGATGGTCTCCTTGACCCACCCCACTCGCGTCCCGATATCAAACAACATCAAGTTGCAAACATGGGTGGAGCAGGGGAGCCAGGTGATCCTCCTGATGTCACGCTCGGGGTCTGTGGCGAACCTGCGCGCTGCCGCCGTATAGCTACCGGCAGAGTCTATGCAGAAGCCGATCACGTCCTTTGCAGGAAAGGACAAGATGATGGCCCGCCACCTACTGTACACGACGTCCGCTGTGTCTCGGACCGACCCGTCACGTGCGACGGTGGCGTATAGCAGGGCGCTATTGGCGCCCCCGGCGAGGAAGTTCACGAGCGGCTTGTCGCTGCGTGACTTCCTCCCGTCGAAGAGGATGGTGGCACCGCTGTGCTGGAAAGTGGCGCGCACCTCGCTCACGATCGTCGCCATCATCGCCCTCTGCGAAGGGATACCGACGCCCGCTGTAACCCTGTAGGAGGGAAACCGGAACCGGATAGAGCGAGGCACTCTCTCTGCTGCCTGCCACACCCTCTGGAACTCCAGACCACGGAAGGCGTTGAATGGCAACTTCCTCACGTAGATCCACTGAAGCCACGCGTCTGAGAACTCGACCAACTTCTCTCTAGCGTACATCTCGTCAATCGTGGTCTGTCGAGCCCTCTTCTCCCTGCCCGTGTCCGGCACCTTGACACCAGCCTTCCCCACTGACCTCTTCTCCCTCCTCGCTCGCTCCAACTCCGGTCGCGACGCCCTAGTAGCAGGACCCGCTCGACCGACGCCTCTCGACGTCATCACCACCTCCTCCCCTAGCAAGTTAGGCTCTCCAACTGCCTCGTCTGCCTCGTCTGCAACCGCCCCCTCCCTGGCCCCACCCTCGCGGCCCTCCTCCTCATCGAGAGCATCCTGAATCTCGTCCCTCTCTGCGTCGTCCATCCGCTGTCTCTGACCACCCGCGAGTGCTCTCGTGTCTCGTATGCCCTCGTCTGCCATCCACCTCTGCACCCGCTGAGCAGTGGATGACACGAATGTGTAGTCCGTGTCGTTCCAGAGTTCCGCGAGAACTCTCATCCCCCCAGCCTTGCAGAACTTCGACTGCGTGAAATGACGCGCGGCCTTCGACGACCCCCCTGAAACAAGTGGCCGCATAAGTTGCAACGCAACTTTCGGTCCCCGTGCGTCTTGGACTGGTCGCCGACGTACTGGCCCGCGGTGACGAAGTTCCAAACAATGTTCCCTCGCCTCAACTTCGCCATCTCGTTCTCGAACAGCGGGTTGAAGTTAGCACCCCCAGACCCCCCCGCACCGCTGCTCCCTGCACCCCCCGTCATCGCCCCCCCCACCAGGATCCAACAAGTCGTGGCCTCGATCTTGGATGTCGTCTGACCGTGCTGCACCGTCGATGTAGCGTCTCCTCAATGTCGCTGCACCCTGACGTCCCCGCCGCTCCTGCCGCCGCGTCCCCTCAATGTCGCGCAAGCCCACTGTCCACTAGCACCCCGACCGGCCGCCCAGCAGCGCGCCACGGAGGTGTGCAGCCCTGCCCGGCCGCCCTCGGCCGTGATCGGCCTCGATCGGTCGTGTTCGGTCGTGTTCGGCCGTGCTCGGCCGTGTTCGGCCACGTTCGGCCGTGTTCGGCTGCGTTCGGCCGTGTTCGGCCGTGTTCGGCTGTGTTCGGCCGCGTTCGGTCTTGCCCGGCCGCGGCCGGGCACTAAAATGGCCGCGCGCTGAAAAACGACGCGCGTGGCGATGGCGACGGCCGTGCGGCGGCCGCTGCCCGGCGTGCTCGCGCGGCGCGCGCCGCTGCAGGGTGCGCAGGAAGAAGAAGAAGAAGAAGAAGAAGATCTCTCTCTCTCTCTCAAGAGTCTCTCTCTCTCTCTCTCTCTCTCTCTCTCTCTCTCT